AAAAAAAAAAAAGAATCTCATGGGCTTTCCTGCCCAAGTGGGCTTCAAACCACAATCCTTAGATCTCAGCCTCCTGAGTAGCTAGGCATGAGCTACTGGCCCTCCTATTCCTTCTTTTTTGGGTTGGTCATAGACCTTGAACTCTGGACCTGGGCACTGTCCCTCAGCTCTTCAGCTCAAGGCTAGTGCTCTATCACTTGAGCCACTTCCAGTTTTCTGGTGGTTTATTGGAGATAAAGTCCTTGAGAGGACTTTCCTGCCTGGGCTGGCTTTGAACCACAATCCTCAGATCTCAGCCTCCTGAGTAGCTGGGATTACAGGCCTGACCACTGGTACCCGGCTTGTGTTTTCTTAACACTAAATTTGTTCAATGTACGCTTGTTTCCTAGGAATTCTTCATAATAGCAGAACTGAGGACCAGGAAGACACTGGCTTCTAGGTAGACTGGTCTATTGTATGTTCAGGCTGTAATTTTTTAGTTGGCATTGTAGTAGAATCTCTGAAATACAGAATCACATTAGAGCAAGGTGGTATTTCTTACAATTTATTCCATCAAGTAATTTAATAAGGATTTTGGAAAGAGGAGCTGAAGTCTTTACAAAGGAAGGGAGGAGAATAATGGGGAGGTATTAAACACTTAAAGAAAGAGTTTACTTGTACTAATGGCCCTTGCTTTAATGTGGTAAACTTACTTATAAATAAAAGCCAAAAAGGAAAAACAAGCTGTGTTCAGTAGGTGTACTGTTTGTTCTTTGTCTTGTTTTTTCTCTCTGAAGTATGGTGCTGTCTTGACGCAGGGATGTAACTGCTATGCATATTGATAGCAGCAAAGTCTTTTTCTCCCTATCTGGCCTAGTAAATAAAGCAGAAGGGATAAAAAGGGACAGGGAATTATAGAATCTGTGTGCTGTTTTTAGATTATCTTGTTCTCCTAGAACTCCTAAGTCTTGAAAACATACTGATGATGTACATTTGGTGGTCAGGGGCTGATGTGAGTACAGTAGGTTGGCATTTTTAGGGATTTTTGTCACTGGTTAAAGTAATAAAATACTTTTTTCCTTTGCACAGTCAGAATTCATCAGAGCCTTTTTGGATCTTCCCCCTCCACCTAGTAGCAAAGTCAGGCTTTGATCTTCAGTGCATTTGTAGTAGTGCAATGTAGATTGTATAGGATGTTTCCTCTGGAAACTGTGTGTGGGTGTGCCAAGGAATGGATGACAGGGAATCTGGGCTGCAAAGAAGACAGACTTATGGCATGATGGGGTTTGTGTACTACCTGAAGAACATCTCCCTAGGATGCCCTGCCCAGAGACATGGTTGTATAAAGAGAATGGTGAGAACAGGAAGGCACAGGTCAGGATAGGCCTGACTGGGACTGTAACTCTTCTACAGGACCAGGAGGCATGGTTATCAAAGATGGGCATGAGTTAAGCACAACCCCCCCCCCCAGTCCAGTAGGTTGTGGGGCTTGAACTCAGGGCCTGGGTCCTGTCCGTAAGCTTTTTCACACAAGGCTAGTATTTTACAACTTTGAGTCACAGCTCTACTCTGGTTTTCTGGTGGTTAATTGGAAATAAAAGTCTCCCTGGACGTTCCTGCCCAAGCTGGCTTCAAACTGTAATCCTCAGATCTCAGCCTCCTGAGTAGCTAGGATTATAGGCATGAGCCACTGACACCCAGTGAGTTAGATTTTTCAGGTTGTAAATACACTGATTGGGGTAACCTGTACTAAAAAAGAATTTTTTTAAAAAGATCATTAATAATTTAGTTCTATTTTTATTATTATCTTTAAGTAGTTGTACAAAGGGGTTACCATTTAAGAAAACAGTTTATAAGTACAATGCATCTTTTGTAACTTTTTTTTTTGGTAGTGGGTCTTGAACTCTGGCACTGTCCCTGCACTCTTCAGCAAAGGCGAGCGCTCTACTGCTTGAGCCACAGCACCACTTCCAGTTTTCTAGTGGCTTATTGGAGATAAGAGTCTCACTTCCCTGCTCAGGCTGGCTTTGAACTGTGATCCTCAGATGTTAGCCTCCTGAGTAGCTAGAATTACAGATGTGAGCCACCAGCACTCAGCTTAACAATTATTTCTATTAAGCAGTTGTTCAAAGGGGTTACTATTTCAACAAATCAGTTTATAAGTACAATGTTTCTTGATTGATGTCACTACTTTTATCATTCTGTCCCATCCCTCCTAACCTAACCCCTCCCCTCAAGTTTCCTAGTAAAAAATAATTTTATTAGACTGTTGCAATAGTGACCCAAGGATCAAAGAAAGCTTTGGAAGGCGGGTTTAAGAAGGACAGTGATAGCTGTAGGGCCAGGGCTGGAAAGGCTGATAACTGGCTTTTATATAACCAGCAGGAAGCTGAGAATCTAGATGATATTCTGTATGCACAGCCATGTTTGGATTTTTCCCTGGTGGCCAAGAGAGAAGATACTGGTGGCAAGCCATGGAGAAGTTCTGCCTGGGGCAGCCAAAGACAAAGGGAGAGGACTCTGGCAGCAGACAGCTTGAGCCTAGGGATGCCTTAGGCAAAATTCATATTTAAATGTAAAAGAGTACCAGGCCTACTGCAAGTGAATATATATATATATATATATATATATATATACACACACACACACAAATATATATATGGTTAAAATATTTTAGGGAGTTAGGCCTGTGGGAAACATCCTGAAATAAATATTTTAAAAGACAATTCTAAAAATATTTCTTTTCAGAAGCATTTTCTATACCACAAATTTGCATTTATAAAAATAAATCTACAGTAATGGTCACTTATAACACAGCAGAATCTCTTATAATTACTTTCGAAAAGGAAAATGAGGAAGAAGAGGGTAAGACTTTGGGCCTCAGCAGAGGGCCGAAGGTGGGAAATAGCTCCTGTCAGCTATGCCTCCTGTGATTTCAGGTATTTTCTGTATGCACATTTGAAACTCCCATGCCCCCCACCAGAGCACACAGATATATATATATATATAGATATAGATATAGATATATATTTATATATATTCATATTCCTATTTAGCCATGTTGTTCTTGAAATAGGAGTATGTAAAGAAAACATTTATAAAAGAAGGAAGTGTTTAGACTTGCTGGCTAAGGTGTTTTCCTCAGCTTGTAGAGTTGTAAGGGTTAGAACTGGAGAGATTCTCAGAGTCCTCAGCAGTGCTGACAATCATTTGGGAATGGTCACAAGGACTGAGATTTCCTGGGAAACTCACGGTGGCCTCAGCAGTGTTGGCCAGGGGGAAGCAGCACTCTAATAAACAAGAAGTGTTGGCCTTCTGAATTCACTCCCTTCTATTCTGTGAATGAGGAGCAGAGGGAGTTGCTGAAGGTGATCTTGCTACTTGTTTCAAAGCTAATTTTGAATTGAGAAGTCAGAGATCAACTCAAGACATCAGACCTATTTTTTTGTTCTTGAGGACATTCATTCCATTGTACAAAATCTTTGTTTTGCCCTTGTACATTTCTGGATCTGGTCTGGGAATCTAGGAAGGAAAACATGCTGTGTTTTACAAATGTGTACAAATAACAAACATGCCTGTTATGACCTAGACAGACTTATCACACGCATACATCAGAACAGGTGGTAAATTACAGCCATGCAGCCTGGAACGAAGTGGATTCTACTTAGTTGCTTATGAGAAATTCGGTGTTAAAATGAAAATGCTTTCCTGGCCCAGGTGCAGTGTAATTGCTCTACTTCTCATAATAAGACTTTAGAGGAAAATGCTCCTATCTCTCAGATGTTGATTCTAATCACTGTTTCTCCTTCTCTCCCATTTTTGGTGTGTTTCTTTGTTTGTCTTCACAGGAAAAAGTAGAATATGCCTTCCTGATTATTTTTACAGTCGAGACATTTTTGAAGATTATAGCGTATGGATTGTTGCTGCATCCTAATGCTTATGTCAGGAATGGATGGAATTTGCTGGATTTTGTTATAGTGATTGTAGGGTAAGTCTCTCCTGTTTGGGGGGAAGTGTTTCTCTGGAAGACAGGAATTGGAGGGGGTGCTGAAAGAAAACACAGCCTTTTAGAGAGAGCGTACCAGTTACTGCACCAGGAGTAACCAGGAATTATTTTTTGTTTTTTTTCCTTCAAGTAGCTGTACAAAGAGGTTTTAATTCAACATAAATTAATTAACTTATAAGTTATAAATTAATTTATGAGTAATTTTGCCTTCGTAGCAGTGAGATATTCTGCTGTTTAACATCTCTTGAACAGAGCTATTACTTTTTTTAATGTTACCTTTGGGAGAAACACTGGTACGTGACTATCCCACTTTAAATAACAAACCAAGCATCTGAATAATGTCACATATCTAGCATACAATGAAATAAAATGTAAAATGCAAGCAGGGTGCCAGTGGCTCACACTTATAATCCTAACTACTCAGGAGGCTGAGATCTGAGTATCACTGTTAGGGCCATACCAGGCAAACGAATCCAAGAGACTCTTATCTCCAGTTACCAGCAAAATGTCATACATGGGGGTAGAATAACAACCCTGAGTGAAAAAGCTGAGTGAGATGCCCTGAGTTCAAGCCCCAATACACACACATACACACATATACACACAATGCAGAGAGAAGCAAGTATCCTTTCAAATTTTTTCACAAGAAGAAGATAAGTTTTAGTTAAAACAGAATATTAAAGTGAAAAACAGAGGCCTGTTTTTTCCTACTCCTTCAACCTGGACATGTTGACAGCTAGAGGAAATGGAATCAGTATTAAGGAAATGCTGAGTCTTTGGATGAATACTCACAAAGGAAGATAAGATGTGTCCCTTCCCTGAGCCTTAGTTACCCTAACTGTTGTATGGGTTGCTTCTATAATCATGTTCATTTCTGCAGAGATTTTAAAATAGCCTCTCTTTCCACCTCCATGACTGTAGTCAGCTGCTTTTTGCAGTTGAGCAAATTGATTTTTCTTTAGGATTTTTTAAAATCAAGGATCCTCTGACTCTGACCTAAAGACCAATTCTACTGTGTATTGGGACAGTTGGATCAATTTGGGCCAGTCCTTTCAACCTAGGAAAGTTAAGCGTAGCCCATTGGGGGTAATTCGACTTGTGGAAGAGAAAGTTAGCTTTTTCAAAAATTACCATTGGTATCTAAAGTATCCTTGCAAGGGTAGTGTGTCTAAAATAAACAAGTGGCGCTTAGGTAAAAAGGAAGAATCTTCCTTTGTTATAACGTGTCAAGAATCAGCGAATAGGAGTTTTGCAGGCATCTTGATTCTGTAGTAATTGCTGTTCCTTTCCTGGATTTTCTGTTCAGGGAGAGAATGCAAATGCTTGGCTCCATTTCTAGTGTACCCATGCCATGATCACCTAGACTTCTTTCTGTCTGGAGATTATTTTAGATTCTTGTCCACAATAACATGAAAAGGGGGCAGGTAACCAAACAAACATGGTGGCTGCATCAAGTTTATGAGGAAGAGACAAGAATTCAGAAGGACTGAATGCCTGAAATTGAGATTTGAGAAGATTTTGTGTGTGTGTGTGTGTGTGTGTGTGTGTGTGTGTGTGTGTGTGTGTGTGTGCAGGTGTGTGCAGAGAGAGGGAGGGGAGGGAGGAAGAGAGAGGGAGAGTGGGAGTGGGGGGAGGGAGAGGATGAGTGCTCCATGGATTTGACTTAGGAGTTCTGGCTGAAGTTTAAGCTGTACTTTTGGAGGATATAATTCTATGAAGCCAGGCGAAGAACATGGTTAAGGAAAAAAGAAAAAGAGGCTGTAGAATGAGTAACCAGAGCTCAACAGAACTGAAAGATGGTTTAGTCAGAACTAACCGGAGTAAGAAGGCTCACTGAACATCCTGGACTATCCGTGGAGACCTCAGAAGGACCCTAGGACTAACCTAGCTCCAGAACACAGTTTGGCAAACTATGGCCAGTGGGTCAAGCCTTAGGCCAACTAACCTGATGCCTATCTTCATAAATAAAAGTTTATTTTGTAACATAGCCACACTCGTAAGTTTACTTGACTTAGTTGGGTTTAACCAAAATATTTACTATCTGGCCCTTTACTGAAAAAGTTTGCCAACAACCCCTGCTTTATGGTAAAGGCTTCCTGAAATGTTGCTAACAAAATTTGGGAAGAAACCTGAAAAAGTGTACACTGTGCAAGTAACTACCTGCCAAAGTAAAATTCAGCACTCTTCAAAGAAAGCTAACCAAGCCTAAATACTTAAAAAATAACATTAAAATGTCTAGTATGCAATCAAATAATAATGAACAATGAAGTAATATATCCTAGAAGGAGGAGATTCTGTCTGTAGAGTCAGACCCCAAAGAGATAGAGATGATGGAGTTAACAGAAAAGGGCTTAATGAGAGTTTAAAACATCTGTTATAAATATATTTTTATATATGGAAGGACAATATAAAAGAATAAGAACTGAAAAGCATATCTGAAAGGAATAATGCCCTGGTTTGCCTAGGAGCATATTAGATACTAGCAAAGAAAAAAATCAGGAATCTGGAAGATACGCTAGCAATAAAATGTAGAAGAATAATTAAGAAAAAAATGGATACCTCATTTGGCTTTAGGTAATTACCAATTGGTCTAACATACATATATTTGGAGTCTCCGAAGGAGAAAAGGACAGGGAGAGATACAAGAAAAACCTTTGAAGAAATGGCACCAGATTTTCCAAATCAGATGAAAAAATATAAACTCACAAAGTAAAAATGTTCAACAAAGCCTGAGTAAAATAAATTGAAGAAAGCCATGTCAAGGCACATCAAGATTGTAATGAAAAAGTTAAAACCAAAGATAAACAGATCTTAAACAGGAAAAGACATCGTAGACTTCTTCACAGTGATACAAGGCAAGAGACAATAGATGGGTGTTTTTAATACTGAGGGAAATTCAACCTCAAACTCTTATTTTGGAGAATAACTCCCAAGATTGATGTCAAAATGAAAACTTTTTTAGAGAAACAAAAGCTGAGAATTCATGACTGAAAAGTTCTGAACTTCAGGAAATGTTAAAGACACTGAAGAAAAGTGGCAGCAGATAGAAATTTGGATCTTACACAAGAGTTAAAAACATGGGTAAATGTAAAGGCTCTTTTCCTCATCTTGAGATCTCTTTAAAAGTAATTGATTATTTAAAATAGAAGTAATAATCATAGATTGTGGGCCCTTCTACCATCCACAGTACGAACAGCACGAAAGTTAGGGAAATAATTACACGTACTTGAGATAGGGGAAATGTGCACTGTACAGATACCTGACTAGGGAATTTCTCCTTGGCATATAGAAAGAATTCTTACAGTTTAACAGCAAGAAAACAGCCCATTATATCAATGGGCAAAAGATTTGGAAAACTATTTTTTTTAATGGCCAGCAAGTCCCTGAAAAGATGCTGAATGTCTTAGTTAGAGGAATGCCAATCAAAACCACAATGACAGGATTATGTGCCCACTAAATGTGAAAATACGCACAATATCAAATGTCCACCAACGTGTGGAGAATTTCCATAGATCACATCTGGAAATGGAAAGTGATATCATCACTGTAGAAAGAGTTTCCCATTTCTGCCCACCACTGGTGGCTCATACCTGTAATCCTAGCTACTCCGGAGGTTGAAATGTAAGGATTTCAGTTCAAAGCCAACCAAAAAGACAGGACTGGAGCTGTGATTCAAGTGGTAGAGTGCCAGCCTTGAGCAAAAAATCTAAAGGTCAGTGCCCAGGCCCTGAGTTCAAGCCCCATTACTGGCACACATACAAAAAAGTTTTCCCATTTCTTATAGTGTTAAACACACTAAGTGATCATACCAGTTTTCTTTTAGGTATTGATCCAAGTTAAAGGAAAACGTGTCTACAGAAAGACATTCTTTGTAATAGAAGAAAACACTAAAAATAATTCAAATATGACAGTTAAAAGACAAACTAGGTAAATGTATGTAACTTAATGTTATTCAACAATGAAAAGAATAAATTTAACAACTTCAATGAGTAAAAGTAGACAAGTAAAAGAAGATAATCAAAAAAGAGAATATGGTATCTGAGTCTATTTATATAGGTTCTAGAAACGAAAACTCCTTACATAGAAAATAGCCAGTCAGCGGCTGGATGCCTAAGATTGGACCTGGAGGAAAGACTGCAGTGAAACATGAGAGAACTCAAGAGACTGGAAATATTCTGTCTGAAACCTTACATTTGTTACTTTAACCCATATATTTGTCAAAATGTACCTTATTTTGCACTTAAGTAGGTTCATTATTTTACATTTACACATAATATATAATGTCACACACATTACATATTATAAACAGCAATAAAGTTGGTTTTAAAAGTAAAAATAATCTTAAGTAATTTAAAATGAACTGGATTCAGCCTCTTTTTACCATTAAGTATGAAAAAATTAGAACATCAAGTTACTCTTTTATCTAAAATATGCACTAAATTATAGTCAAAGCAAGAGCGGAGTTAAAAAAATGAAATCTTCATTTGATTTGGATTCCCACTCTCTAAAGTTTCCAACTATAGTCTGTATCTCAATCCAATGGATTTTCAACTCCAGGTCCACAGTGACCTATTACTTTGTCAAGGCTCCCACTAACGGACATTAAGACAGTAATGGATATTTAAAAAATATTAACTCTTAATAATGTAGCCACAAGAGGACCCAGGGGACTGAAACCACTCCTTGAATGAAAAGTTTGATCTGAGTCAACTTTAATCTTTCTCTTCTGATCTTTCAATAGAGACATTTCCAGCATTCCAGCTCATTACTTACGCTTTTGTTAAGAACTTGGTGTCCTTATTGTGGTGCTCCTGACCTTTGTCAATGTGGGAAGTTCTTTGCCTTTCTCTTCTTCTTTTGGGGCTCTTCATAGCAATCTAGGCTCTAATGTTAAGCTTTGTCTCCTCTCTGTCTCTCACTCTCTCTGTTTCTTTTTCTCTTCCTCTCCCACTATCCTTCCCCCCCCCCCCCAAGTGATGATGCAAGGATAGAATTATAGGCTATGGGAATGGAAAGGACAGGACTCTGAGTCCCTTAATTCAGTTTCTTCACTTTAAAGAGTAGGAAACAGAGGTCTCAAGAAGGAGAGGAACTTCTCTAAGGTCTCAGAGCTCTTAAGAATGGAACCAGCTCTGGACCCATCCAGACCCATGCCGTCTGGGAACCATAGCCAGCTTCTCCCTGACTCGGATTCTTTGGTAACAGGAGAGAGACATTATTCACCTGTTTTTAAGGACATTGTTGGAGAATGGGGAATGAAAGGCCCTTCAAGTACACATTGCCAAACACTGGTATTTGAAAGCCATCTTAAGTCACCACCTGTGTAAATTACTTTCCTAACCCTTGGGGATGAAAATTCCTGTGGCTTCCACATTTTGGAAAAGCTTGAAGTTTTCCTTCTTTCTTTTGGTTTATTTGTGTGAAGCCATAAACTTGTTTTGGAGGAGAGACTTTTAACATTAGCCTTGCTACAAAGGTTTACAATAATTTAAAATGCTATGCTAATGATAGCCTATCATAAATTTGATCTGTTTCCCAAGTACTAAGGAGAGAGCTAACATCAGAAGCTTTGAAAAGGTAGAAACCTGGCTTGTTTTTCCTCTTGGGTTCATGCTAATTGCTGTACTGTTATTAAAACAAAGAACTGGTCTATAAATGCCCCAGAATAACATGGCTGTGCCGAATCAGAACTGCAATCAGACCACCCTGTGTTTTATAGGCTTAGTGTCTTGGTGATCCAGAGGCCTGCCAGTGGGGGCAGAATTTCTGCTTTGGCTGCTAATTAAACTTTAGAACCTTTTCTTTGTTGCTGGGCCAGTCACTTCCACAATCTGATTGGCCAGAGTTGATGCTATTTGCAGTGGGCAAATTTATACTTATTCTGAAAAACGAGCAACAATTCCAAAGAATAAATATTTATTTGAAAGAGCAAAAGTAACTGTCAAATGAACAGATTGCCTGAAAATAGCTTTATCCAGAAAAAGTTCTGAAAGTTGGAAAACACTTAACCATGGCTGCCAGATACAATATTATTCACATTTCAGGAGAGAAAATGATGATATTAATACCTTCCCCTAGGTAACTGCTTTTAGCCTTTGCATACCACAGCTTGTTAGCATCTGTGATTTACATCATTCCCCAAATAGCCTTATGAGGCTGCAGGTGAGGGGTATGCGTGTCAGAGACTGTACTGGAAGTGATATAACACATTAAGATGTGAGAATTTCAAGTCATTCATTGATGTATTCATCAAAAAATTGAAGCTGGGCATAGTGTTTCGCACTTGTAATCCTAGCTACTTGGGAGGTGGAGATCGGAAAGATTATACTTAGAAGTTTGCTTGGGTGAAAAGGTAGCAAGATTCAACATAAAGGCCAAGCATGCTTGCACATATATGATATACACCTATTGTTTCAGTTATACTGTAGAAACAGGTAGGCAAATGGATATTTGAGGCTGGCCTGGGCAAAAAGCATGAGACTTTTATGTGAAAAATAACTTAAACCCAAGGCACTAGGGGCATGACTCAAGTGATAAAGCATCTACCTAGCAAATGCAAGATCTTGAATTCAGACCAAATACCACAAAAGCAAAACCAAATTTCAAGCACTTCATATGTAGCAGAAACTAGACATTAGGCTAGAATGGACTAAATGAACAAAGACTAAAACATCCTGTCTATAGAAGCTACATTCCAAGGGGGGCAATGAGACATGGATTCTAATGTTAGTTCTGCCACTTATGTGGGCTCAGCAGATTCCTTATTCCCACTGAATTTAAATGGACTTGATAATTCCTGAAGCACAATTTTGTAAGGATCATTGTTTGGGAAGTGCTTAGTGCATAGTGAGTGCTCTGGAGAGGTAACACCAAGGTCATTGTTGTCATTCAGTCCCCACTTCTGCCAGGGTTGACCTTGCTCCTGCTTGCTCCATGGGCATAGGAGCAGTTAAGATAAGTTCCTGTTCCAGCTGGGTGCCCTCTAATCTTAGCTACTTTGGGAGGCTAAGAACAGGTAGATCATGGTTGGAGGCCAGTTCGGGAAGAAAAGTTTGTGAGACACCTTTCTCAAGCTATAGCTATGTGTTTTGTCATCCTAGGTATGTGGGAAGTTGAGATCAAGAAGACTGTGTTTCTAGCCCAGCCCCAGTCAGAAACCTCTGAGACTCAGTCTCAACAGAAGAAGTTGGGCATGTTGGTACATGACTGTGTTCTGAACTATGGGAAATAAAAAATAGGATTGTGGTCCAAGCAAGTGTCTGGGAAGGAAGTGAAACCATAGCTTAAACAAATGAACAACCCCCTCCAAGAATAACAAAACAACAAAACAAAACTTAATCATGGCAAAAAAAGGGGGGGCTTTCAGTGGTAGAGTGGCTCTCTGCCTAGCAAGTGTAAGGCCCTGAGTTTAAACCCCATGTACCACCAGGAAAAAAAAGAAAAAAGTAAAAATTAGTCTGTGTCCTAAGAGCTAGTGATAGAGGGGTTAGGTTTGGATTTTGTAGCCCTAAGTTCTTGACTTTACTTTGCCTTACTGTTATTTAGGAGGCAGCCACTCAGAATTAGCCCTTGTTTAAAAATAACTATTTTATCATCCTGTTTTGCTTCCCTGGGTGACAGACTCCTAACATTTCTCTCTCTCCTCCTTCTTCTTTCAGATTGTTTAGTGTAATTTTGGAACAATTAACCAAAGAAACAGAAGGCGGAAACCACTCCAGTGGCAAATCAGGAGGCTTTGATGTCAAAGCGCTCCGTGCCTTTCGAGTGTTACGACCACTTCGACTAGTATCAGGAGTGCCCAGTAAGCCCTTTGTGTTTCCTACAGGCAGGGATGCACTAATCTTTTTCTTCTGGGTGGGTCTCAGGATTGAGAAACAGTGCTCTGAGGTGAGTTACCCACTAAGGGGCCAGCCAGTGGGCTATGTAGGCCTTCATAGTTCACAAGACGTGTTTGCTTCACTGTCATTTTGGGTGTCTGTGACAGTTCTGAAAGGAGGACAGGTTGTGGTGATGGTCATTTTGCCTTTGCAGAGGAGAGTATACCTTCTTGCAGAGAAGTTGGGTGGTGGCTGGAGATCTTGGGTCCGAGGTATCCCGACTCCAGTCCAGTTCTCTCTGCAGGTGCATTGCCATCTTCTCCATGCTCAAAGCC